GACATGAAGAAGGGAGCAAGTTGCACGTGGGAAAAAAACGTGCCTGATTTAAATGTCACACCTGAACGCCAACATCCTTTAATTATGTTTGAAATTATGAACATTGCTCAATATCATGAAATTAAGCCTTATTTTCAATAAGCAATCCTGAAAAATATTTGGGGGTGCTTAACTTTTTTCCAGGTGTATATATATACGGCTTTACAACTGAATCCAGTGTTTACAGACTCCCCACATAGCTACAGGGTATAAATATAGTAGCTATAAATATATATATATATGTTTTACAAGCAGTACCACTATTAATGATAACATTGTGGAAATGATATCAGGAGCAATAGCCATCCATTCTGCATGCAGCCAATCCAAAGGATGTCGTTATTTCCCGAAAGAGCATCATACACCAACTACGTATTTCATTAAACTAGACTGTTTCAAATAGGACAGTATTGCTATTATTTATGTCTCGAACCATAAACTTGTTTGTTTAATTTTTTTGCGATTGCATTTTTACTTTAAGCTACCTGTCTTGTTTCTGTAATTTTTTGAAGATCCCTATCCCCCCCCCCCATTTTAAATACAAAATTTTTAATAATCTGGTTTTTTTAGTTTTTATGTCCATCATGTATAGTAATAAATCATAGTAGCATACATTTTTCCTTTATAATTCAAGATCATTAATCAGTTGAAAAAGTGAATAATGAAATTATTTTCAAAGCATGTGCTGAAAGTCATAGATTTTTCCTAATGAGCAGAATAATCTACAATTAGAGCTCAAACAAAGCAGTTACATGATTCAAAGGATCCTTCGGACTTTTAACGCTAAAAACCTGGTTTCAATACGCGCGGTAGGCACAGCACAGATAACTTATTGTGTAGCTTTGCGCTTAAGAACAAACAAACAATGTATATTTGGGTGGCTATCTCCATAAACAATTTAACAATGCTGATGGACATGCATTTATTTTTTGCTATTATTTTTCTTGTTCACGCTGGAAATGGAATACATACAAGGCTTTTCAAATCTGATACGAATCGTTTGTTCTGTAGATGCTATATATGGTACTTGTGCTAAGCTTCGTAGATGGTGTTGTAAATCAACATGCATAGATACAGTTTATAGTAGGATGTCAGTAGGCACTCAGTTATTGTAGTTTAGGAAATAACTTTTCATTAAAACAATACTTAATGGCATTTTCCCTGAAATGTTTTACAACATCCATGTGCTCTAAAGCAATGTGTTTATTTATTCAGAGGAATTTAGAGCTAAATGTCCATAGGT